CAAATTTCAGGGCTCAAGATCCAAAATATTTTTATTTGAAGATTATATTTCCCATTTGTGAGCGAGACTCAACAGATTATCATACAAATTGCAAAAATATCTCTTCCAAGTCAAGATTCACAGCCCAAAATTTCTTATAAAACAAGATTCAACAAGAGTGGTGGTTATCTCAAGATCAGGAGGTCAAATTTCAACCAAAAATATATATATATATATATATATATATTTTCCCACAATCACAAAACCCAAATTGTTTACATGTCCAAGTGCATAAACTTAAAAGCCATCAGAAATTGAGAGTCAAGTTTCAAGGGTTCTAAAAATTTGTTTACAAAACCTGTAAAAGCCAAAGAAAGAGGGTTTCAAGCATATACTCACAAATCTAAAGCAATGAAGAGAATGAAGTTTGTTGAATCAAGACCAAGGCCCACCAAAAATGAAGCTCCAAAAATGGGTTTCAGAGCAAGTCGACGGGGCAGCATGTAGCCTGTACGAGCAGTGGGCGAGAGAGGTGCTGGACTGGTGGCAAGACCGCGAGTAACAGAGCACGCGACGTGGGTTGAGAGCCACGCGCACGAGCCAGGTGTGAGAGAGAACCAACGACCACGATGAGTCAGTCAATGGCAAGCTAGGTTGGCGTTGGTGCAAGCTGTTAGCGAGTGGGTCGACGAGGACAGCAAATCAGCTAGGGGAACCGCAGCGCAGCAGTGGCTGGAGTAGGACAGCAGTGAAATGTACTGGCTGTCGTGAGCAAGTGGATGAGGCCGGTAGGCTGCACCGCCAAGTTGTCGCGCTATTGATAAGCTGAACGGTGACTACACATGTCGCGTTGAGTCGGGCGACGTGCGTAGTCGGAGCTAGACAGCCAAGGTCGGAAGCAGCGGTGGTCTGCAAGAAGAGGCAAAGTTGCAGCCGAGAGAGACCGATAGCAGCTTGGGTCACGACATCCGCAACAGGTGGAGTTGGGACAGGACGTCGGCGGTGCAAACGAGCGTCAACCGTGACATTGCAGTAGAGCTGGTGCCGACACTGGCCAACTGCAGCAGTAGCGTGGGTCTTCGGCGACGAGGACGGTGCTTGAAGATGCGACAGAGGCCAGCGTGCAAGCGCCGGTGGTCTTCAGTAGTGGCAATGCAAGCTGGTCACGGTGGCCTTTGGTTTGGCAGCTGCGGAGTTCCGATTGAAGAAGAATAAAGCTGGGTCAGTCTTGAGGAAGAAGAGAGCTAGGTCAGTCTTGAGGAAGAAGAGAGCTGAGTTGGTCTCTCGATCTAGAGAGAGAGTCGGCTATGGATTTGGCAAAAAAAAGTGAGCTATGGAATAACGTTTTGGCCCTTTCCTTAAGTAAGAGTCGGCTGAGAAATGGATTTGGCAAAAAAAAAAGTGAGCTATGGAATAGCGTTTTGGCCCTTTCCTCTTACGTAGAAAAAAAAAAAGTTGTGATTCTTGGAATATTTTTTCAAATATTCTGAGTTGATGTTTGATTCATAAATTAATAGTAAAGTATTAATAATTTTATTAAATTAGTGTGGTATTTACTATTTAATTGGATTAATATTCATTGGATTAATAATTCTACTCTTATTTCATTATTAATAATCTTACAAATTTGTTAGATTAATTATCTATTGAATTATTAATCTTAAATCAAAATGTTAAAATAAATATAAGATAAATGGACTTACGAATTAATAATCTTAATCTCATACTCTAATTTACCCAATCAAACATGTCCTGAGTGTGTATATATATATGCATATAGTGTGCCTGCTGTATTCCAAAAAAAAAAAAGTGTGTGAGCCTGATCTTTTCTTATCTTTTCAAGAAAAATTGGTGCTTTATTTATTTATTTATTTATTTTCTTGGGATAAGAAAATGGATCTTCAGATGTTCTAGAAAAATTAGAAGATTTGGAATCATGCATGCTGATTGAAAGAGTTTAAGAATTAAGTTTGAAAAAAAAAAAAAAACGTGGCACAAATACAAAGTGCGTTTACCAAACATGGTACAAAAAAATTTCTATTTTTATCGTCAATTTTATTCACAAATTACGGTGAGTTCTCAGCTTTATCCATAGACTCTATCAAGTCCAAATATTTCGGAAGACGTAATGCGAAGCATGGCTGATAAGGTAAAACTATGCATATCCGAGAAAACTAAAATTTTTTATACATGCTAGGGGCAAATGTAAGAGGAGCTAATTTGAACCCACTAAATTAATTAGGCCCAATAGTCCAAGGTTGGTGAGCCCGAATTTATCGCCATCAAACGGGTCGAATCGCTCTAAGCCTCGAAAGGGTTCGAATCCACAAACCTAGAGACTTACTCGGGTCCGGACTCGAAAGGGTTGGATCCACGAACCTAGAGATCCAAAGCACTTGACTTCAAACGGATTCGAATGCAATCTACAAGTCGTTCCGTTAATGAGTCCCAGAATACTTACGAGTTCGGAGTTTTCTAGGATCTACGCACCAGAACCATGTGCGTAATGGAGTTCGAACAAAGGACCCGATCCCGAGGACGGTGAGTGGAGATGAATTCACTCTTCGGTTAAACTAGCCTATACCCGGATCGAGGTGGCACGACCCTGGGGGGGTCCATGAGACTCGGCAATATTTGCGGCAAGGCGTTCTCTTGAACTACCCTTGACCCTTCTGCGGTAGGACGTCCTCTTGGACTACCCCTGATCCTTTGGGATGATTGGGGATCATTGGTTAGGTGTGGCTAAAAAGAAGGGTTCGCCGAGAGGTTAATCTCCTCTTTGAAAGTTTTCCTTATCCTCGGAGAGGTTACCTCCTCGGACAAGGTGGTTAGACAGAATATTCCCCATGTGCCTTGCACATGAGCTCCATCCTATATCATAAGATGCCTATAAATAGCACCCACTCATAGCTTTACAAGGGATGGATTTTGGAGAGATAACTTTTGGAAAAAAACTAATTTCCCTTCTCCATTATCAAACTTGAGAGTGAAAGTGGGAGATCCATGGGAGAGCCTTGCCATTATTCTCTCTCTAACTATTTTATCTTTTTCTTCACCCAATCTCTTATCTCCATCATCTCTTTCCTTTTGTGTTCTTAGTTGTGACTATTGAAGAATTTAAGCCTCTCATCATTTTCTAGAGAATTTAAATTTTTTTTCAAAGATCTTTTAAGATGTTCGAATTTTCCAATGTCGTCCTTGAACCCTCTTATACACCCTCTAAATTAAGGTACAAAAGCATCCCAACCCTTTCTCACAAACCCTAGAAACCCTACTTTAAACCCTCTCAAATTCAGAAGCTTTGTACCAACCCTAATAACCATGTTGCCAAAATTATGAAGCTCATTTTCATATCATTCACTGTGGCATAGATGGCAATTTTGGTACCGACAGGACTAGCGAGGCTATCGCCAGATTATGAACTTCAAGTCTTAACTGAGGTGGGCTTGCGACCGCCACACTGCTGGTTATCAGTGATGAAGATAGATGGGTGTATTACACAGATTTATGACGCCCTTTACATAAAACGGTTTAGCAGCATTGGACCTGCATGTTGGAAGGTCATTAATACTAGAATTGAAGTGACTTGTTGGCCTAGAATGTTTCCCTTCCACCCTAAATTTCCATCATTGATTAAGGACCATTGTGCTAATTTTGCAGCGACGCCTGAAAGTATCCTATAGTGGGCATGCATGGCGACCATGAAAGGAACAAGAGAAAGAATAGGTGCATATGATTTTATTTTATTTATTTTATTATTATTATTATTATTATTTTTTCTTTCCTTACAGAATTTTCATATAGAAGAGATACCAAAGGTGGGTCTCCCTTTGTATCTGTTCTGTGAAAAAAATTTCATGCATATAATGTAGAATTTAAGATCCTTCAGTTTAGCATATATAGAATGTGAGGGGGGAAGGTATAAGGTTTTCTTCCGGTTAGGTTTGGTTCTTGCAGTGTCTATTTTTGATTAGGGTCTTTATTATGTAATTCTTTTCTTTCCTTCAAATTTCGATTTGGTTGTTAGTCTCTCTCACACACGAGGGAAAAGGAAATTTTCTAATACAAGGTGCATATATAGAGCATCACAATACTTGAAAAGTAATTGGACCTACGAAAACCAGTGACTAGTGGTATGCAAAATTTTGTCTGGGAATCTCCTCAGTACACCATTTTAGTGTGTACCATATGGATATTTTTCATTTACTTTTTCTTTCAGTGGTCCTAAAAGAATGGGATACTTGCGTGTAAGTTTTAATTAGTAGATTTATTATCTATAAGTCTTATAAGAAAAATTTGTCATAAAAAAAAATTACTAATTGTAAATTTTAGCAACAATTTATAAAAATTATGACAAAAAATCACTAATTGTCAATTTTTAGCAACATATATAAAAAATTGTCATAAAAAAATTATTTTTAGCGATAATTTTACCAAGACTTATTTTCAATAGGACTTAATAGGAATTAAATTTAACTATTAGGACCTATTGATAATTTGTCCTAGAAAAATTTCATGTCCATATCATGTCTAAACAATTTATATTGGCCTTGTTCCTTTTCCTTTCACACTTAAAAATTGAAGTATTACGTTATTAAAGTATCGTATGCAAGTTTACTTATTTAAATGTTGAAATTCAATTTAAGTATCTTTATAGGTTTTTTTCCTCTTTTTTTTTAAAAAAATAAAAAATAAAAAATAATAAAACTAATCCTTACTTTATGCAAAATATGAATATTGATATGAGACACATTACTGATACTTAATTCGATATTAAAAAAAGTAAAATACTATTTTAATCTCATTATTTTCTTCTTCAGTAAGAAATAAGAAAATTATTGAAAAATTATTGTCTTTATCTGACAATTATATTACTAATACTTTGCAAACATTATTATATTATCAATTTCATTATAGTTCAAGCACGTCACCTAGAGTGCCTGAAAAGTATATTTCTCAAGTATTAGATACATTTATAAAATATCATATATTTATCCACGGGAATTGGAAAAGTATCCATATCCTCATCATAGCCCCACTATTATGATTTATGTGATTTTGGCATCAAAAAACAGATACCCACCAACAGCCATGTAAGATTAAATGCAACATAACTTTTGATCATAATTATGCTAATTAACAACAACAGTGAGGGCCTTCAAACTACTTCTAAAGATTCACTACTTTGGAAAAATGAATGCGTAGATGATTGATGTAATAACAAGCAGTCAGTGTCAAACTATTTTTCTTACTTTTTTTTCTTTTCTTTGCTTGTTGCAACTCTTGGACCATAAGGGTAATCAAGTTTGGGATTTGTTGGTCTGTTTCACTGAGTCATCTTCTTCTTCTTGTTCTTCTTCCTTAAACTTGAAGACAGCAAGATATAAGGCAGGTTCATCTACAAATTCGGTCATCTGGAATGAATGATCAGCAGCAACTTTCTGCAATGTCATCTCATCTGGCAAGTCAGAGATTACCACTTCAGGGAATTGTTGTCTTTGCTTTTCCGCCACCTCCCTCCCTTGGGGATGACTCATCACAATTCTTGCACCTATTCAACCCACCAATGTAAAAGGAAGCAGCAATCATCAATTCAAATCCTGCTTCTACATTTAACTTATTATTTATCAAAATACCAATAAACAGGGCTTCACAGGCACCATCTTCTTATCATAATTTTAAGTGAAAAATGTAAAAGCCGTTTAGCTTTTGAAAATTGGCAATTTGAAAGGATCTGTAATATATTACCACTATTTTTGGATGGCATGAATCAAAGATACAAGAAATGAGCATCCCAACCAACAATTCCGTTATTAGTAGTAATAAGATTCATGAGTTAACACAATTCAAAATGTTTGGTTAAGAATTTATGTAAAAGAATGATTAAAAATTTTGTATGTTGTGGACTCGATACTTGTTTTACTTTTAAATGGTTTCCTCTAGGCTCCAAGAGAAATGTGAGATTCCCACTTACGATGTGTTTAGATCCAGGATTTAGGAAGAGTTTTTTTTTTAGGAAAAATAAAAAGAGAAATATAAATGAAATATAAGCTAAATTTTTTTTCACATGTTCCTTCGATTTTCTTTTCCCACTACAAATCTCTCCCAAAATGTAAAATCACCCCTAGTACGGTAATCTCAATCCGCCTTGAGAAGCTAATTAGGAATCACATTCCAATCTTAAACAATCCAAACAGTAGTGAAGAGATGCGATACAGTGACGTTAGATAAAAGTGTTAGGGGAAGGAACAGACCTAGATTGACGTGGGTTAGTGTAGTAAATAGAGATATAAATGTCCTTAACTTGACTAATGAAACGGCCTTAAGATAGAGTCGAGTGGAGAAGAAGGATTTATATAGCCGACCCCATTTGATGGGACTTAAGACTTGATTTGGTTTAGTTTGGTTTGGTTTGGTTTGGTTTAGAATGAGATTCCCATTCTGCCTCTCCACTCCCATCATCCAAATCCAAAGATGGTTGGGTTGAAATTAGAAGGGAAACTATTGAGATAAGATGCAAGTAGTATTTATATCTAATAACACTATTAGAATTTAAGAGTCTGAATATTTAAGAGTCTGAATAGTATACAACAAATAGCAGTATGAAAATCTGATTTGTTTGTCAGTCCAAATATGGGTACTCAACAGAGGGGATTTTTAAAAGAATTTAGGGATTAAGGTGGTTGAGAAACCAGGTGCTTGTATGGATTTCACTGGGAGAAAGCAGTAGATATCTAGTAGGATTTTGCATAAGTACAAGTCTAAGTTACAAGGATAAAAATGTGGTCTTCTCTCTTTTGCGGGTAGATGTGTACCAGCTAAGCACTCACTTCTCTCGATCCCATCGTACTTACTTTCTGTCTTTAAGGCCCCTGATTATTTTATAAAGCAAGTGCGAAAGTGTGGTTAGTCAATTTTTGTGGAAAGGTGAGGAAGGCAAAGGTATGCATTGGAAATCTTGGGGTAGCCTATGTTTGCCTAAGTCATTGGGGGGATTGAGTTTTAGGGACCCAGGGAAATTTAATCAAGCCTTTTGGCAAAGATAGCTTGGCGAATTATTCATGAGCCAAATTCACTTATTAGTAAAGTTCTTTTGGCTAAATATTGTGCAAACAATAATTTTTTGGATGTTGAGCCAAAGAATGCGTGTTCATGGGGATGGAGACGTATATTATGGGGTAGAGATTTGCTTAAAACAGGTCTTTCTGGGAGAGTGGGGGATGGAAAACAAATATACCCCTTTGAAGATCAATGGATACCAACTTTAAAAATTGATCTCCCAGGTCAGGGTGTTGGGCGGGTTTTCAGCCCGTTCCGCGTTTCTCATTTGATAAATGATGACTGAAAGGAATGGCAGGAACCATTGGTCAGATTACTTTTTCCTCCATTAATGGTAAGTCATATTCTTAACATTTATATACCACGAGAAGAAATTCCTGATTTGATTATTTGGGCAACAAATAGGAATGATGTCTATTAAGTGAAATCGGGTTATTTTAAAACATTGGATTTGAATAGGGGACAGGAGAGTCTTGAGAGGGAAGATAATGTATGGTATTGGAAAAAACTTTGGAAGCTTCACTTACCTCCTAAGTGGACTTTGTTTATTTGGAAACTATTACATCGAATTTTGCTGTTCGAGTATCATTATAAACAAGAGGAATTTTAATTGATCCGGTTTGCCCAAGATGTTTAGAGGATGAAGAATCTTTAGAACATCTTTGTTTTCAATGTCCTTTGTCTAAATGCATACGGCATGGATCTAGGTTGGGTTTGAACTTTGATGTGGGGATAGAATTATCATTGGAGGGATGGTTGAAACAATGGTTCAGAACTGCACCAAACGAGGAAGCCATCTTGGAATCGGTTAAAATTCTTTTGGGGAATTTGGATTCATAGGAATAGGGCGGCTTTTGACCAAATTATAGAGGACCCCTCCTCGGTTATTGGCTTTATTTGTGCTCTAGATTGGTCCACTCAAAGGGATACAGCTAAAGTACTAATGGCAAATCAAGATCTAGCTTCCAAGAATGGGGGTAATTCTAAATTGCAACAGTTTATAATGACAAACAATGTGAATTGGGTTCCACAGATAGCCAGGAGCTAGTTAGACAATTAAACAATGTTGTTATGGCAGATTGGCAAATTAAAAATATCCTAGTAGATATTCTGTTTGTTTATAAGTCTTTTGATTATGTATGTATTGAAGCTTGAGTAACCAGCTTAGGGTATGATGAGATATCATCCCTTATTTATAAATAAAGATTAGGGTTTACAAGGTAGACAATTACAAGATGATCCCTGAGTGCATAAAAAATGATTACTGACTCTTTCGGCTAATATAATATGCTAAGTGACTTTCGGTGATTATAATATGCCAACACTCCCTCTCAAGCTGGTGCGAAGATATCTCTCATGCCCAACTTGCCTAATATGTCATGAAACGGTTTATTCCCAACTCCCTTGGTGAGAATGTCAGCAAGTTGGTCACCAGACTGAACAAAAGGAGTACAAATGGTACCACTAGTGAGTTTCTCCTTAATGAAGTGGCGATCAATCTCAACATGTTTTGTCCTGTCATGTTGAACGGGATTGTGAGCAATGTTGATGGCGGCCTTATTATCACAGTATAACCGCATGGAGTCCGTCTGAGCAATACCTAGATCACTCAACAATATTGGATATGATTGGAATAAAATAAAAGTTAAAAAATAAAATGAAAATGGATAGTAATAAAAGTACGCAAATAAATTACCTGGCAAACAATGTTTGGCAAGTGATTGAAAAAGGAGATGAAGTTGAAAGGGCAAAGCAGGGAGGAGGTAAAGAAAGAAAACATCAAAAGGTGCCCATTTGTGTGGTACATAAATCAGGTCTCCCTGCCAGCATTTAACAGTGTCATATTTCTCTTTGATACTGGCTAACACCAATAAGGAGTCATGGACAACCAGCAATAGTTGCAAAGGAGGTGATGAATCCACTAATTGCTCCACAAATCCTTGAGAACCAATCCAAACCAAAACCCTCGAACTTTCCTCAATCTCTCCCGCCGAGATTATCCGATTAGCGTCAGAATTCGTATCAAGAAATGACCAATCTTTCTCCACAAAATCTTCCAAAGAGATTGCTCCCTCATTCGAAGGACCTGTAGCAGTAGCAGCAGCAGCAGCAACGGAAGAAAGACGATGATAGTGTGAAGAAGAAACGATTGAAGTCGAAATGGAACGAGAAGAAGAAGAAGAAGAAGAGAGCCACAGATGATCTTTGTTATTAGATTGAGGATGCAGATGAGGAGGACGAAACAGGGGAGAGTGTGGTAAGATAATAGAATTCATTATTGACTTTTAAAAACCCTAGCATCAATATTTTGGGTTTAGGGTGAACCACTTTTATTGCCCATGGATGGTGTTGGGTTGGAGTAGGTTTTGTATACTCCCTCGTTCCAAAATAATCATCCTTTTTAGGAAATTTAATTTTTTTTTTATAGGATAATTATTATATTTTTTTTTGAAAATATCAATATCAAGATTATACTTTTTATGTTGTTAATGAATTTAAAAGAATAGTAAAATAGAAAATTTATATTATTTTTGTATACCCTTTGAAAAGGTGCTAATATTTTGGAATAATAAAAAATAGAATAAATAATTAATATTTTGAGATGGCAGAAATACATAATGTGACACATTCCAAACACCTAAGATAAATGCAGTACATTTTATTGTCAAATTTAATTATAATAGTAAAAAATATCACATCATATATACCTCATTTATATAAAAAAAAATTACTCTTTGAGTTGAGTATATATACAAAGAAGTTATTTATTGACTAGTGTTTCAAGTATTATGATTGGTAGAAAATGGGAGACTTATGGTTTTATATAGTGTGATTGAAAAATATAAAGGGATATGGAGAATGATGATTAGTAAAGGAATATTGACATGTGGTATTCTAGGAATACTCTATAATTTTTTATATATACAGATTGTCTTTGCTTTGAAAATTAATTTCATCACTTCAACTTTTTAATCGGATAACAAATGATTCATTATATTAATAAATTATTTAATTAATTAATATATTTTAATGATATTATAAATGTATTTTAATTAATAATTTATATAATTTTATTGTTATATAAGAGAGTAGTTAAAAAATTTATTTTTTCTATTAATTCTGTTAAATAAAAAAAATCTAACAGTAACGTATTTGTAATTTTTGAAATTACAAAGATAATTTATATTTTAAGTAAATCTCAACAGATTATTTGTAATTTACCCAACGCTGTTTTAGCATTTTTCAAGTAATTAATAAAGAATGCTTCTATTAACACTCCAGTTAATTCTTTGTACCTCTCATTTTTTCAGACTTCCACTTATAAAATTCAAAATCTTAAAAATTTCTAAGAACTCCCTAAATAATGTCAAAATTATCATTCTAAAATCATTACACCCACCAAAATGCACACACCCTTAAAAACCCTTCATTTTTCAAAACCCTTAACTATTGAACTCTTACTGTTAATCTCAAGCTTCCTCTCATTGTCAACTATTGAACTCTCATTGCTGAACTCTAGCTTTCTCTCATTGTCAACGTTTGATCTCTAATTTCATCTCATTGTCAACTATTGATCTCTCACTGTTGAACTGTAGTTTTCTTTCACCGTTAAACTCAAGCTTACTCTTACCGTTGACATAGTTCCACCGTCAATCTCTATTATCGGCGGTCTCTTATAGCTGACTTTTTTTCGCCATCAATCTATCTCACAGCCAATCTCCCACCATTGATCTATCACTACTGACTTTTCTCTGTCGTCGATCTCTCTGCTTCCATGTTTGGACCTGTGCTGATAAACAAATTACTTATATTTGGACCTGTGTGATCAAACAATTTGTACATATTTGAACTTATATTACCAAAATTATAAAAACATAATCTGTGCACAAGTGTGAACATCAAAATTTAACAAACAATGATAAATATGCATCAATCAATTTGATTAACAAATAAAACTAAAGTTAATCGCATAACCAAAACATAAGTATGCATTAAGGTTACATCGAAAGTGCCGACCATATGAATAAAAAAATTCAAATCCAAAGTGCCGAACATATGAATAACGTACAATTAGACGTTGCCAAACTAATACCTTTAATTCAACCATGTCTTTTTATTTGTTTGACATATGTTTCGGTTCAATACTGAAAAAAGGTCAAGCTGTTTCACCTGTTTTTTTTTTTTTTTTTAATTTTTTAAAAAACTTGTCATTATAAGGTCAACCTCCTTCGAATTACGAATATCATCCAAACTGTGAAGCTCTTCTGAGCTTATTTTGTGATGCTCCATTCGTCTCATGGTATCGGGGTTGCTAGAAAAACTTTCACTCATCACCATTGTCAAAGAAGTGTATACTGTGGAATAGTTGTTGTTGTCGTTAGAAGTTGTCACAAGACCAACCTTCGGATGATTTTGAGGGTGTGTAGGTTCTAAGGATTTTGAAGTGTGTGGATGGTGATGGGGTAGATGCTTTCATAAACCCTATGCTGTGATTTAGTGGATGAATGGGTTTAATTATGAGATGAGGGTCCCAAATAATTCATGTCATTTTTAGTAATTTTATTTGAAATTATTATTGTAATTAAAAAAATAAAAATACGAGGGGTTCAAATTATTAATTGGGGTGCTAATAGTAAGCATCTAAATAAATAATGTGGTACTTATGTGTAGGTCTTAATAAGTGAACTTATTGTCTAATAGGTCCTATATGAAAAATTTGTCATAAAAAAAGTCACTAATTGTAAGTTTTAATAACAATTTATAAAAATCATGACAAAAAAGTAACTAATTATTAATTTTTAGCGACATATATAAAAAATTGATACAAAAAAATTATTTTTAGCGATAATTTTATCAAGACTTATTTTCAATAGGACTTGATGGGAATTAAGTCCAACTATTAGGACTTATTGGTAGTTTACCCATAAATAATGGTCCTCTATCTTTTAATAGGGTTTATTACACTTTCCACTCCTATAGTTTGACCTAAATTTCACTTTAGCCTCAATAATGTAATTTGAATAATTTGGTCCATTCACTAAAAGTATAATTTCAATTTGGTCATTCTGTCCAATTTTTTATTAATTTTGTCTACATGTACACTTCAAAAAATTGACAAGTGTCCCATAATGTTTAACCTCTAATTTAGACGGAAGAAACAAATTGAAATCTTAAAAAATTAACAAGTATTCTAAAATTGTTAAATTTAACCTCTAATAATTTAAACGAAATAACCAAATTGAAACTTTAGAAAATTGACTAGTGTCTCAAAATTGTTAAGTTTAACCTTCAAAGTGTAAGGTCTAAAAAAAACTATGATAACTAAAGTGAAATTTGAATCAAACTACAACAGAAGTAAAAAGTGTAATTAACCCTTTTTAATATTTTCATCCATACTCTTCTAAATGAGTCGAGCCATTTTATCGATGATGCTCATGTCATCAATAACACGTGAATGCAACTTTTATCTATAACCATAGGGGGGGCTTTATTTGCACCCTAATTGAATCCTTCAATTTAATAAAATTATTTTTATTACTATTATGTCTTTATTTAAAATGACAATATATATATATATATATATTTGATATTTAAAAAAGTGCAAATCAAAGTATTTTGAACACTCCATTCATAGTTAATCTTAATCTTTCCTTTTATGTTCTCTTCTCACTTTCTTCAATTTGCATCTTCATAGTCAATTATATTTTTCTTGAATCTATCATTTTTGCATTCTATTTTATATTCAAGTCAACAATAGACAATAAAGAAAACATCTCTAAGTTGTTCACTACAACATATAAGACTTGTAGCTACTAACTATTTTGGTCATTAAAATCCTTATTTTGGTCTCTAAATGTTTCTTTTTGACAAAAATAAATTCGCCACCAAAAACGTCGCTAATATTGCATCTAGAAAAGTCAAAAATGACTTTTAGCAACGAATTTTCAAGTGTCACTGAAAATGACAATTAGCAACCATTTTTTTTTTTTTTGGAGAACATGAGAAATATTATATTAATAAACAACAATATTACATAAACAAGGCCCTAAAGGGCCATCCTAACCAAACAAAAAACAAGTCCGTCAAAAAAAAGTTACGAATTAAGAAAAATCATCGATCTTCTCAAAGATATGATTTGAAAAACAAGATCTACTTGAAAGCCCACCGTCCTCGTCGACGTCATCCCCGTTGCTACTGCTCAACTTCGCCTCCGCCGCCGCCACTGGACATCGAATACTGCCAGAAGCTAGAGTTGAGAAGGAAATACATCCACAATGGTATGGGATAAGGCTTGAAAGATGAGAGAACCATTGTGGGTGTCGAAAATTTAAAAATTTATGCCAAAATTGAAGGAGAAAACATTCGAAAACTGTAAATCTATAATCTAAAGGTGTAGATTTACACTTTAAAATTGTAAAGTAGGTCATCAAAGTGTCGCCAAAGCACCACCAAAAATCACCTAAACCTCTCCCTTTGTAGACTTCACCTCTAGTAACCAATTTTATATTGTCACAAAATGTTTGATTTTACAAGACTAAACATTTCGTTGCTAATACTTCGATATCCCAATTTGGTCACAAAAAACAAAATAGTGGTATTTTTAAAAACAATTATATTTGGTTGCTAAAAGACAAATGACTTTCTTTACCACACATTTGCGTTGCTAAAAGTCATAGTTGGGAAATGTTTTGTAACCATTTATTTTCATAGCTAAAAATGCAAAAAAATTAAATGTCATCCAATCATATAAAAAAAAAATTGACATCCACACATCAAAGGCACTCTATTCCCAAACCATAATGAGTATATGGAAAGTAAAATTTTACAAAAATTAAAACTCAAAGTTTCCAAATTCAATTTAACATAGTTCATCATGTGAGTAGATTGTCAGATCTGCACCTCCAATGCTCACATCACAAAGCCAAACCTCAGTCTAGATCAGTGAGGCCCAAATCAAAGTCATTCTTGTTCTCAAATTTCAAATGAAGAATAGCAACAGTTTCTTCAAAAGAGAATCTCTAGGAGGTCAACCTTGACCTTAAAAAGGAATGATGCCTCCAGGCTTTAAGCCCTGCTCTGTTACAATTAACTTGAACATAGCTCTATGCATAGGACATTCCACAAGCCCCTCAGATCTCTACTTCTCGCCATTCTTGGACAAGGGCATAGCAGCAACACATTAAATGTGAGAGAAAATCATCAACAAATCCTCCCTGCTGAAGAAAGACATGATAAGAAGTATAACCCTCCCTGCTGAAGAAAGACATGTTGTGAAGCTTCCTTCTGATGCAGCAAGTATAGCAACAGCTTGATAAAATCAATGAATAAGCTATTAATTCAGTGCACACTTCTGCCGAAGCTGGTGATTAAGACAACAAGTTTCTGTGTAAGCTTCCGTATGGTACAAAATCATGAGCAAAATTTCAAAACTCCAAAGGTCCAGAAAATATGCATTCATAGCTGCAAAATTGACAGTCACTCCCAGCCATACTTCATTCACACAACCAAAAGCATGATAAAGAAACAGAACAAACCATATCTTAAATACCCAAAGACATTACCAAAGAGTTGAATAGCTTCCCTAACTAAAAGCAATAAGATTCCCTAGCAATGTTGAATAATATCCACATCTTAAATTTAGTGCTTTCCTATGACTAGGACCTAATTATGTTTACAAGGGATAATTGACTCTTTTACCACCAACATATTTTTGTTTGTGTTCTTTTGCTTTTCCCCTGCCCTTTATAAGAAACAAATTCAGTAGAAGGCAGAGAAAGGAAACAACCCAAGTGTACTTTTAAGTGTACCAGGGGGATGGGGATAAACAAAAGGCATGCTTCTTTGAATGTAAGTCGTGTACTTGTTGCATTAGTCGCAGGTAGGTCCAGCCTATGCTTGAATGAAAGTTTTAAGCTATGTCATGCAAGATAGTAGCCAACATGTACTGATAAAAATGCTGAAAATTTAATTGTTCAAAACTAGGCTTCTATAACAGTGAGCTCTTAAACCTCAACCTTATTAGTTTGTTTTCTACTTGGCTTCCCAGGATTTCACCTAAAGCTGAAACCTGTAGAGATTGCACATTCTACACTTCCATGTCTTTAGGATTAGGTTGTTTTGGAAGCTCAATGGAGTGGCCTAAGGTACTATAATTTCAAAGCCTTTAAATTTGGACACCAAATCAAATGTTCCCTTTATAAAATAGTATCAATAAAAACATAAATTGCTTACCTTAAATTCTGCATTCGTCTTTTCCTTCAAGAAATTCTCTTCCACTTATGCATTGATTTGATGTTGTCAGGTTGCAGTTTAAGCTTTTCTTCTTCATTAGGTGCCTTTCTTCTTCATTGGCCTCATGTGACAAATCATATAGAAATTCACAAGCAATAAAAACCTATAAATGTCATCATCTCCCAAAAAGCTTCAAAGAAAAAGAGAAAAAAAAATAATACTCTGCATTCATGATATTTTGAATTCCTCATTTCAAAGCTCCAATGCTCAAACAAGTTACAAATGTCAACTAATGTTTCAAAGAGATTTTTTTGATTTCCAAATTGTTTGAGTGTTGATATATTCTACAACCATTAAATATCATCCTATATCATATATACCAGTTCAACCAATAAAATAATCACATTATTAATTGATCCGTAAAAGAGTCATTGAGGATACATCCAAAGTAAGTAATCAATTTTTTTATGTTCATTTCAATATAATATTATTACCATTATCAGCAGTAAAAAGTTCTATGATCCAGATTGCCACATATCAAAAGTACATGATTCACATTATAATTTTCGGACTAAAAAATATAATTTAATTTGAAAGGAAGCAAACGCAGTTTCACAAAGTTTTAATTTCCTCAAATGATGACACTGTATTTAAAAGAAAACAATAAGCATGAGTCAATGGCATTAGGGCCACTACAATTGGTAAAAAAATTTAAGGGGTATCATTATTTATGTTGTTTTCCAAACTAGGTTTAGCAAATAAGAGCAAAGTAATGGGAATGCTGGGAAATGGGAAGAAAGACATGCCAAAAATCAAACGATGAGAGTAGGAAATGCTTATAGAAAACTACACAAACATTGACAAACATAAAGAATAAACAGCCAGACATGAAAAATCCAGAGTGCATACTTTGGGTTTGTTTAATTCAAAAAATAAATAAATTAATAGGATGGATGGAAGAGCTTTATTGTATAAAGTAAGCTTCATTTTAAGTTGATTTTACAGTTCATATCATCCAATTTCTCTTCCTATGCAGTTCATTATCAAAGATCATAGATCTATTAAACCTGTTGAAATTGAATGTATAAAGAGAAATAGAGAATTGTATTATTGATGTAATATTGATTGATATTTATTACAATGATTCATGATTCCTATATATAGAAGAGGGTGAGTGTGTAGTAGGTAAGTATGATTGTGAAAGGAGAGAGGAGGAGAGGGAGGAGCAATCGGAATCCAATGGAATGGGCGGAGTCGGAAAGAGAATCAATCGATCGATCGATCTTCGAGAGAACTCTCTCTTTCTCTCTCTCTTACCGTCTCGCCCATCCCGCAAGATTCCGAGTGCTTTGTAACTCCCTTTCCACTTTCTCTGAATGCTTCGGTGACTGTAGAGCCACCACCGCCATTGGAGGCATATTGAAGGTTTTGCTGCTTTGCTTTGGTCTTGGTCTTGGTCTTGGTCTTGGAATTTCTGCTGGGCGAACTCTTCTCAGATTGAGAATTTGCAGCAACAACCTCTGTGACATCAATCAGATGCTGAATTACTTCGCATTGGCCCACATCCAAATTGGCAAGAACAGAATGTGTGAAACATATCGATTGAGTGCCATATGACAAGAAAGCAATTACACAATGTCACAAGCTATGAAACAAAGCAGGTATTAACTACATGTGGCATCAAAGCAATGATATAAACAGAAGCAACAAGGTCATGGTACTAAAATGGCAAACCAAATCTGTGGAATAATAATCTAGTTGAGCATTCTTTTCTTGTGGATTTAATTACATGGAAAAGAAGTGCAAACCCATCACTGTAAGCATAATAAAGTGCTTGAGATAAGCCACATAGATGTACATTCAGCCTTGTACATGAGAGGAAACAAATTTGTTACTTTGAAAGTTCTTAAAAACAAATTTGTAGCCAGAAAATGATTTTTATCATATCAACAAAAGAACAATAGACAACTTTCTGGACCATTACTTTAGAGTAAAATGAAAATATTTATTTACCTCAGGAATTTTTAGTTTCTTCTACAAAGATAATTGAAATCTCAGCATGACAAATGATATATTCCACTGCAAATAACAGAGTGACCCAACATAGGTCTCAGAATTGCTATATGTAGTCTCTCTGGAATGGAACCCATGAATGACATAGATTATCCATGGCTTTGTGTGAATGTGATTGAGAACAACTTAAACAAATAAATTAACATTGTGGGGCCTAGATTCTGAATTGTACAACAATTCATGGACCATTAATGTAACCATTTACATTCAATCTTACTATATCAATACGGTGATTAATTAATACTAGTCCATAAATTGTAAGTAGAAACTAATCAGAGAACTGAACACAATTCCAAAATTCTACAATCAATAAACAAATTAAATAAATAAAATCTGTTCAATCGGACAAAAACTTGAACTAATCACTGTGTTCTTCATAGATACAGGTATATATGTATGTATAGGCGGAAAGAGGGAGAGAGAGAGAGAGAGATTGAAAACGCACCAAATCGTTATTGAATCCAAATTGCTACGATCTCTGTTAAAAACAAAATCGATTTTCTCAAACTTGTATACATCTGCAAAACAATTATGATTGAAGATCAGAATTTGTGTATATATACATATTATATAACGGCTGGGCTTGCCTCCAGTCCATGGACTGGAGGGTCCGGTCTGGCCCATTGGGCCTACCTTTGGGCCTCTTTTTGGTAATCTGAACCGTTCACATTTTAGAGTTTGTTGAGTGCATTATTCTTGTAAAAAATCACTACAATCAGATAACGGATATTGCGAATTCGGATCAGTTTTTAATAAACTATTAATTTTCTGACCGTCCATTTTTTTTAGACAAAAATGATCTGAATATATAATATCCGTTATCCAATCAAGATGATTTTTTACAAGAATAATATACTCAATAAACTCTAAAATCAGAACAGTTTTAATTATTAAAAATATATCTAAAAGTAGACCCAATAGGCCAAACTTAATCAGACTATTCAAAATCTGAACCTGAGACAGTTCAAACCCTTATATAATAATATAAGCAAATATTTTCTAGTTAGGTGTTTGAGGTTTGAAGGGCCATCTCTTTTTTCATATTTTTTTTTATTTTTATTAATTTATGTTAATATATGTGGCAATAATGGCCTATAAATTAATTTTATATTTTTAAAATAAAATTATAAATTTAAATATTTTCTTAAATTATGTTAATAAAATTGAAATATTGTCATAAATTACTCATCCTTCCTCTATAATAATTATATGGAACTAATTATTATGACATGATTATTTCATATAAAACTTTAAAACTAATTGTTTCATATAAAACTTTAAATTTGATATGATTGTTTCATTTGGACAAAGCCTTTAGCCGCTCGAATGTCATTCATTGCGACGAAGCATTGTTTTGACATTACTTGATCTCCCCAAGCCTCTTCAATTTGCTCGACTGGGCAGGAAAGCGCATGACTTGGTGGTAAGTTGAAGCCATTGCTTGCATGACGTGCAACCAGCCCCTCCCCAAGATCAAGTTGTAAGTTAATGGGACCTTCAGCATCCAAAACTCCACTTCCTTCGTGACTGACCCTGCCTTGACTAGCAATATGATCTTCCCGATTGGCAATTCCGGCTGTGAGTTGAAGCCAACCAAAGGGGAAGTTGCTGGAGCTAAGTCTTTGTCCTCCAACTTCATTTGTTTAAATGCATCATAATACATGATCTCGATCGAACTCCCTTGGTCAATTAAAATTTTCTTGATGTCAAAGTCCTTGACGCGCAGGGTTACAACTAAGGCGTTGTTATGAGGGGTTTGAATTCTTTCCAAGTCTTTGCTCGAAAAAGTCATGATGTCTTGTACCTCGGTCTTCCCCTTCTTCACGATGGGCTGAACGGATACCACCTCTCTTATGTGTTCAACCTTTTTAATCATTTCTCTGAGCTTGCATACTCACGCCGGCCCAATGATTCTGTGAATGACGTTGATAACTCCTCGGGGCATGACATCTAGGACGGCTAGCTCGTTTGGCTCGACTTGCCCTTGGGGGGCTACCCTCATGCCACCGTCAATGTACTGGTCTAAGTGCCCCGCCGCAACCAACTCCTCTAAATGTTGTTTTAACGGCACACATTCCTCTGTATGGTGGCCCCTTTCTTCATGATAAGTGCAGCGATATCTTGAGTTAAAACCCCTCTGAGTATCTCCCAATTTTGCTGGCCACCAGACAAATGGCTCGCTTCGAATCTCACTGAGAATGCGATAAATTGGAATTTTGAAGATAGTGGTAATGATGGTTCGTGCCTTCAATTTTCTCTTGGCATCTTCCTCCTCATTGCGAGAAGCGTTAGCCCAGTCATTTCCACGGTCCTTATTTCTGTCATTATGGCCAGCACCGCAGTGTTGTTCTCTGGCTCGATTATTGGGGTGATTATCCCCTTGCTCCACCGAGTTAACCTTCTCAGCTATACGTTTGCCCGCTACTACCAGATTCGCCTTCTCGGTGGCTGTAGACACCCTATTTTTGACCGTCCTTAAGACTTGGGCACCTCACTTCGAACGCTCGATGACGAAATGTTACGTTGTACAATCGTTTGATTTCTTCAGCAAAAGGTTTCGATTTTCAAGCTTTAGAACCTAAACCTTGCACCTTCTTTGGACCAAAGCCTAATTTTTTCTAGCCTAACCTCTCAGAGACCTGCTGGCCAACAAATGGCCGGCGGGCCATTTTTGGTTGACCAGCCATCTCTCTTCATGGCGGTCGACCGTGTTCAACAACAAACAAATATTTTTGACTGCCAACTGTCCCTATGTGTATTTCTTGCACCAGCTGGCTCATTATAGATATTTCTGACGTGAGGACTTGAGAGGGAAATTTATATCTAAATTGGGCCAAGCTGAGTAGTGGGCCGTTGTGAGCCACGGTAAGAAGGGCAGAGTATAAAGGCCTTGGAGTTAGCCCGGCCCAAGGTAGCCTTGGAGTTAGCCCAGTCCAAAATGGCCTTCAAGTTAGTCCAGTCTAAGAGTTAACACGGTCGCCACGCTCAGAGTTAGCCCGGTCATGGTGTATTATTGTTAGCTCGGCCGGAACCTTGCTATTAGTTAGCTCGGTCTAAGAACACCATGGTTTGTATAGGGGAAACCGAGGTAAGAGCAGTGAAAGGAAGAACCAAACTAGGTATAGTTTGGTCTACTCTGCGGCTTAATATGGCCATGCTTACCTCGGTCATATTGGAATCCGACCATGGTAAAACCATCTCACTTGGTTTAAGCAGTGAGGGGGGTGTCGAAGGATAAACATTATCTTTCGGGAGTATGACTCTTAGGAGGACTCTACATAAAGGAGCAAAAGTCCTACTAGGATTATGCCACGCGGAACCTATAAAAGCTCATAACATCACCTTTAGAGAGGTAACACAGCTTTGATTCTCGAACACACAGAGCTTTTGTCTATTTGTCTATTTCGGTGACTTAGGCATCGGAGAGGTATCCGGCACACACCCGCCGGCTAGCTGACGTTTGTGTTTTTAGGGAGTAAAGCGACGTCATACGGAGGATCGCAGACTTGATCAACAGGATTATACGAGAAGGTTTATTTCTTTTCCGTACAATTGGCGCCGTCTGTGGGAATCACAGAAAGAAAAAAACCTCTTGATCAAAGTTTTCCTCGCCAGATTAGACGCAATGGCACACAATGAGGATTTGCTGCAGTCTGCCATTGACAGGAAAACCCCGGAGGGAGGTGGGAGGCGCGAAGGCTTGCCTTCCATCCCACCCATGGCAGATCTGGAGCCCCAGCGACAGAATCCCCGGAGGGATGCAAGGGGAAGACGGGGTAACAGCCTCCGTCGCTCATCAAGTCCCGATAGGCAGAGGAGGAGGATCGACCCTCAAGCTTTGGAGAATCAGGTAAATAAGCAGGATGAGTTAATCAGGAAGATGGCGGCGGACATGGAATTGATGAAGCGCCAGATAAAAGGGAAAGAGGTGGCGATGGGAGAGGGGCGCAAAGGCAATATGCCCTCTCGCCACTCTGAAGATCGTGGTAGGCATACCACGCCGTCGCAAGCAGAAAGTAGAAGCCTTAGGACGGGCGACACTCAATCAAGGACTTCCAGAACTCGTTACTCCAGGTCTGAGAGAACGAGATCATTGAGGTCTTACACTGAGGGAAGTACCTATCGGCTCTCACACACGCACTAGACATCATACAGGCAAACGGAGTTGCCTAGATCGTCCGATTTACGAACTGTGCTTGAAGAAAAGGCGCGACAGAAAGAGGATGCCAGGGCACACGACCCGCACAAAGTTTCATCCCTTCAGTGGTTGGCTCCTCGAACGCATGGAAGCGTCAAGGTTGGAATGCCAATACCGCACCTTGCCTACGAACCAACAGATAAAGCGTTGGCAAGACTACATAGCTCGCCGTTCATTCCGCGATTGACAACGTACCATTACCCTCAGGCTTCATCCAGCCTAAATTTACCACGTACGAAGGGAAGACAGACCCTTACATGCACCTAAGCCATTTTCGCCAAGTTATGGCAGTATACTGGCAGAACGAAGCTTTGATGTGCATCCTATTCCCATCTAGCCTTGGCGACCTAGGTTTAACCTGGTTCGAAAGGCTACCAGAAGGCAACATAGCCTCCTGGGTGCAATTAGCGGAGGCGTTCGTGACGAGATTCAGAACGAACACCAAGACGCCAGTGGAGATTGATCAGCTACTCTCCATCGACATGGGCGACAAAGAAATATTAAGGTCCTACAACAGTCGCTACTGGGAGACGTTCGACCAGATAGGGGACTGCCCCACTAATCTCGCCATCACACAATACAAAAGAGGACTTCCAGTCGGAAACAGATTGAGGGATTCGATTACAATGACTCCACCTCTCACGATGGAAGCCTTGATGGAGAGAGTGCACCAACATATTCAGGTGGAGGAGGATGGCGCCCGTGCCAAGGCAAAATCTGGTGCGACAGCAACACCAGAAAAGAAGACTATGGCAAAGGTCAATACTGTAGAACGTCAAAGCAAGAATGGACGAGGCAGGCGAGACAACGAAGAAGACCGAGATAAAAGATGGTTGAGAGTCCGCACTGCCATCACCACGGTATTCAAGAAACCAATCTACCGAATTCTCAGTGAGATACGCGATGAACCTTTCGTCAAATGGCCAGCTAAATTGGGAAAGGCTTAGAAGGACTACGACGAAAGATCTCGGTGCACCTTCTATAAGGAAAAGGGGCACCGTACTAAAAATTGCGCACCGTTGAGACAGCATCTGGAGGAGTTGGTGGCAGCCAGTCACCTGGACAAGTACATTGAAGGAGGGGCGCAGCTAGCCCCCTAGAATGACAACCACCCGAACAGAATGCCAATCGACGCCCCACCTCAAGGCGTGATCAACGTAATCCATGGGGTATTCGAACCTGAGCGCGTATGCGAGCTCAAGGGCATGATAAAGAAGGTTGAGCACTTAAGGGAGGTACTAAGCGCCCAACCTACCATCAAAAAAGGGAGAACAGAAGCCACGAACGTCATATCTTTTTCAGATAGAGACTTGGCAAGGATGTACTGCCCTCA